AGATTGACAGCCTTGGAGACCCTGTGGGGCAGATGTAGCGTGTCCTATAGGATTTCTATAAGTCGGAATCCACTCCGCAGCAGTGTATTTTTTTTCACACGTATAAAGATAGCTTACGAAGCCACGCATACCTATCCAAGCAAAAACCAAACCTAACTCACTGCCCTTGAGTCCATTTCTGCTTACAGTGACCCCCTTTGGGTTTCCGAGGCAGTAAATCTGTTCACAAGTAGATCGTCCAGTCTTCCTTCCACAGAGCGGCTGGTGGGTTTGATCCGTCAACCTTCTGGTTAGCAGTCAGATACCTTAGGCACTACACCACCATCATGCCTTACCTGGACTACATAATTGAACACACCACCAAGGCGAGCCTTTTTTTCTAATGATTGTCTTTTGTGTAGAGGAAGTGCTGTGATTTGAACCCCTCCTGGAAAGGTACAGGTCTGCAGGTCCCTTGTCACCCAACAGGGTGCAGCACAGTGGTGCGGGGCATGCTACTCCTGAATCAGAGGGCACACGTGTTGGTGATGGCGGTTGCCTTGGAGTCACCTCTGACGTGCTGACCCCATGTGTTCAGAGTAGAGCTGTGCTCCATGGAGTTCTCAAGGGTGAGACCTTCAGAACCAGTTTGCCGGACGTTCTTCTGAGGGGTTCACACCACCAACTTTCAGCTCCTAAAGTCCTTAACTGTTTCCACGACCCAGGGACTCTGTATGCAACTTCACAACCTCCCCAATCATCATAAAAATAAAAAACAGGATCCCAGCCCCAGTTCCCATCCAGTCAGTTCTGACTCGTGGCTACACCACGTGTGTCAGGTTAGAACAGGGCTTTCAAGATTGTGACTTCTCTGAAGCAGACTGGCAGGCCTTTTTTCCAAGGGAAAACACAGACAACCTTGTGGCAGACAGACAACCTCTTAAAACAGACAACTTCTTGGCAGGTTGACAGTGCGCTTAACCAATTGCACCACCAGGGGGCGCCCTGGGTGCATGTTAGTTCCTGGATCTGCACCAGGGAGAGAGCTAGCTGCCTGCTCTGGGAGGGAGAGGTGTGGGCATTGCGGGCTCCGCCAGTGAGGGGAGCCACCGGTCGTCACCGGCCCCCTGGACTCACCAGCGTGTCTGCGTCCAGGAAGACGCACTTGCTGTAACGGGTGAGGGCCCAACAGTGCAGTTTGGTGAGGCTGACCCCGAGCTCAGGCGTCCACGTACGGGCCAGGGGGATGCAGTCCGCACTGTTGATCACGTTCACCTCGACGACTTCATCAAAGACCCTGCTGAGGACGGCCCTGCAAAGACATGCCCCGGAGGGAAGGACACAGGGAAGAGGTGACTTCAGGGAGGAAGTGGGAAGAGAGCTGTTGCACTGTGGGTAATTGCAGCCAATGTCATGCAACAAAATGTGTGTGAACTGCTGCGTCAAAATGAAGTTCCTCTGTCAACTTTCACCCAAATCACAATAAAAAGAAGAAAAAAAAATATATATATGCATGGAACACTAGCAGGACTGGTACCAGTGCACCCAGGGCGCCCGACCGTCCACCACGGGACACACCCACAGACAGAGCACAGATCAAACCCCACATCTGCTATGAATGAACTATACCCCCCAAAATGTGCTGTCAGTCCTAACCCCTATACCTGGGCAAACGTGCTGCAGAGGCCCTCTTTAAAGTATTAAAAAGCAAAGTTGTTGCTTAGCGCAGGGAAGTTCACCTGACCCAAGACGTGGTATTTTTCAGTTGCCTCGTATGCATGCGAGAGCTGGATAATGAATAAGGAAGATCAAAGAAGAGTTGATGCGTTTGAGTTGTGGTGTTGGTGGAGAAGGCAGAACGGACCCCGGGCTGTCAGAAGAAGAAACAAGTCTGTCTTGGAAGTAGTGCAGCCTGAATACTCCTTAGAAATGAGGAGGGCATGACTTCGTCTCATGTACGTTGGTCATGTTGTCAGGGCAACTGCTCTCTGGAGGAAGACCCTGTACGAGGTGGACGGAGACAGTGCTGCAATGATGGGCTCAAGCCTTACCCCAGGCACCCTGCATGCAGGCTCACAGCCCCCTGAAATGTGCAGCATAAAATGTCTGTTCATGAAAGCCGCCCCCTTGTGGTAATTATGTTGGACTCTGTCCTCCAGGGGCGCTGTGAGTCAGAATCAATTAGACGGCGCCCAACAGAGCACACTGCTCAGATCATCAGCATTTACACTGAACTCAAAGTTTCACTCATTTTTTGAGGATTGCTTCTTGTACACCGTTTCTTCTTTTCTTGATTCCTATTTCATTCGGCTTGAGTAGATCCTCAGATGATTTTCTCTCCAAGGTAATTGGGGAGTAATGTTTTTGAATAGTTGTGTATTTAAGATGCCTTTATTTGGCTTTGAAAGCATGCTGATTTGGCGGAATACAGAAGTCTCATTCCAAACCTGTTTTGCTCCAGAGTTCTCAGACATCAGCTTATGCAAATAGACCGATACTGAAGTGCATCCAGGGATTTTTCTTTATTCTTGGAGCTCTGAAATGTCACCAGTGGCATTGCAAGGCTTGTCACCCAGTGCAGTAACTCGTGGCGTGACCTCCCCTCCTGGACACCTCCTCCCGTGCCAGACCACACAGAATCCTCAGGGATGTTGTGAGCAATTTTAATCCTAGAGTAATATGTAAGATGTATAGTTGTAAATTGTTGAAATATTTCTTAGATTATATGAATACTAACAGCTGAAGTATTTTGCAAAGTCTACATTAAATTACAGTGTTCTTAGCTGCAACATTATGAAAACTCGGCAGAAGGCTTTTTTTCTTTTTCTCCTTCCTTTCCCTTGATTCAGGAGCTCTGGTGGTGCTGTGGTTAAAGCACTGGGCTGTTAACCAAAACATCACCAGTTTGAACCCACCGTAAGACAAAGATGAGTCAGTCTGCTTCCATAAAGACTGACAGCCTTGGAGACCCTGTGGTGCAGTTCCACTGTGTCCTCTAGGGGCGCTGTGGGTCAGAATGGACTCCAGGCAGTGGGTGTGGTTTGGGCTTTGCTTCCGTGAAGATTGACAGCCTTGGTGACCCTGTGGGGCAGTTCCACTCTGTCCTCTAGGGGCGCTGTGGGTGGGAATGGACTCCACGGCAGTGGGTGTGGTTTGGGCTTTGCTTCCGTGAAGATTGACAGCCTTTGAGACCCCAGGGTGCAGTTCCACTCTGTCCTCTGGGGGCGCTGTGAGTTGATATTGACTCCATGGCAGTGCGTTTGCTTTTTTGTATTTTTCCTTTACTCACTACTTAATACTCAAAAAAGTTACTGATGTAGGTTGACATATACTACTTACCACAGTATTGTAGCCAGAACCCTGGCATATTTGACAACTTGCTGAGTATAAAAACACAGGCAGCAGTAAAACCAAAAACGTGGACTCGTACCCCGTGCAGATGAAACTAGCAATTTGAAGCATCACTGGATAGTGCTAACTCTAACCAAAGCTCATTGGAAAGTTCAAAAAGTAAATTAGCATAGAGTTTTAGCCGAGTACAGCATATGTTAGGTGGCCTTATGAAAACGGCTCCCGTTGTTATAACTGCCTACAGGGATATTTGTATAAAAAATCATAAACTCCTGCTCCAACCCCACACATGATTTGCATGCAGTCTTTCTGGTGTCACATCCTCCGGCAGGGTCACCCGGGGGGGTCTGCACCCCAGCCCCCCTGGAGTGACACCACCGACCGTTACCCTCTGTAACCAGCTTTGGGCTTTCTCCCTTTGTTCTGCTCAACCACCAGGAGCACTGGCAGCGCGGGCCCTTCTGCAGGGATGACACCCTCGTGAGCTCTTTTCTCTGTCCATCCCCCTGCTTCTTGTCCCTCTTCCTAAAGCGTCTGTCGCACGGACGCTGAGCTCCCAGGTCCCCTCCACATCCCTGGATTAGCTCTTTCACCCCACATGTCTGTTCTTTTCAGCAGCACGGTATCCAGGGTAACTCTGTGCCTAACACAGTAGGCCACCTGTTCCATTCCCAGTGGCCCCTGCTTCCTGCCCAGAGACTTGGGGCATTTAGGACATCCCGTGCTTGGATGAAGATCGGGCAGGGCTACACGAAGACCTTTGTACTTGCTACAAATGGTGCCGTCACTGATCTGCACACGTCCTGCCGCTCAGCCCTGCTGCTCTCCCTAAAATAAATCCCTGGAAGGAGCATTAGGTTTCAGGAATGCCATCTGTTGTTCAGAGCTGCAGGCACACTGCAGGCATGTGCTCTGTCTTCCTGTAGAAAGGCTACCCCATCGCACACTTGTGCCAGAGACCGGAAGGGGGTGGTCTGCGGTACGCATGGCTGTGGTCTTTTCTGGTCATCAGTCACTGTCTGTCTTCTCCTGGCATCAACAAGTGTTAGAAGCCACCTTCAAGAGACACGGCCAACCAGCGTGTCACATACATACTTAATTATTCCACTGCCCTGGAGTGGGTTCTGACAATAGCGCCCCTAGAGGACAGAGTGGAACTGCCCACAGGGTCTCCAAGGCTGTCAGTCTTCA